GAAAAGTAAGGGGTCTTGCTCAGTTTCTTCGGATATTTTATTTTAAACTGTACAGCGACAGAATTACGAGACTCTGCACCGCTGCCCAAAGTGGAAAAAGCCCTCTACGACTCTTTTGCAACTAAAGCAAATAAAGAAATTAAACTATGATCAGTAGCTTATAGTCTTCTTTTTCAGGATTGTTTACCATGTAAGCATTATCTGAACTTTTCATTACGAAGCGTTACGAAAAGTCAGACTTTAGCAATATCGGCAGCAATGTACCATATCAAACGTTGACTACCAAGTCATCATAGATACATTGTACAATTTTATTGTGCATGTTTATTGTCTTAGCTTAATGAAGAAGAAGAAGACGACGAAGAAGGGGAAAAAAGAAAGAACCACAAGAAGAAAGAAAGACAGAAAGCAAGAAAAAAAAATGCTATGTATATATATTTTAAATAGCTGCATTTCACAAATTTCTGGAACATTTCTTGGACGACTACGGTGATTATAATTTGTTCATCAATGCCAATCAAACTTGCGTTAATACGCGACTAATATGATATCTTTCTCATCCCAAAAATGAAAAAGTCGAGATTCTTTATGTTGACTACCGTCTCGGGAGACGGAGAGAGAGAGAGAGAGAGAGAGACAGACAGAAACGGGGAGGGGGCGATGATGATAACGATGGTGATGGTGTAATGGGGATTCTTAAATTTTCGTTGATATTGGTCCGGGGTAATTGGTAGTTCATAATTCATTTTTCTTATACTTATTCATCATATTTTTTTATATTTAGTTTTACTGCAGTAAATTAAGTCGTAACGAATACCCCCCCCCCCCCCTCCGGGAACGGAGGTATCGCATGCGTGTTCCCAAATCTCCGGCTCGATCGTATAACAAAGAAAAAGATCTGCCCGTATTGACTTTACACACTGGACTTTTGCTGAAAGAGGGGGGGGGGGGGGGGTGCTAAAAAGGCTTGTATAACAAAGAAAAAAGATCTACCCGGCCGTATTGAATTTACACACCGGACTTTTCTGAAAGGGGGGGGGGGGGGGGTGCTGGGAACACAAATATGCGTACCCTAAATAACACTGAGGGGAGGGGCCGGGCCAAAAATAATGAAATTGAATGCACTTGGGGGTAAGTTATACAACCACACCCCTACTTAGCAGCCGGGTCGCATTTTGTAACCATGAACTATTCAAGCCTATAGGGTTAGGATAAGTAATCTTACCGTATCCTGATTCATGAAACGTTTCTTGGCAGAAGATTGCATGCTCATTACACTCTACTCTGTCCGTTTTGATGGGATCAGGAGTGATACATCCGAGTTAGAGCAACTACATGTGATATACACTGCCGCTAAGCCAAATTAAGCTAGTGCCACACCCTTACGCATGAAACACAAATATGCCCTGTTGAATTACGTGGCCAGGTTTGTTTGCCTCTGTAAGTACAGTCATGTACTGTGGTCCTGTGCTGAAAATATGTTGTGGTTCATACTTTGAAGCAGATGATATTGTTTTATTGATATTGCATATTCACAACTATACAGGTCCAGTTTCGAGGTGTCATGTTCTTATAGCAATATTATTGGTCTACCAGGTGGAGCGATACTAGCCCGTATATATTTAAGATGTGAATATGAAAGGGGTTACAAAATATGATGTCACCTCCTATAGGGAGTTATGATGTCTTACATCCACAATGGAAATAACTAAACAAAGCAGGTGAAACTTGCGAGATGTATAGAGATAAATCATGATCTCATGTCATGTGTATTTCTCTGAAGAATGTTCTTCAAAACACAAAGAGAAGATGCATATAAGCCTACTTTTTTTAATTTATAATTTTATGTCCATGGCCCAGGTGATGGCAAATACTTTATAATAATTTGTTTAAACACCGTTTCTTTGTATCATATTCATACATGTTTATAAAGAAAAAGGCAATAAGAAAATTAATGAGTGAAATTAAAATGATTGGTGATTTTATTCAATCACATATTCTATCATAAATTTAGTCAACGTGAAATTCTGTTTTGAGTCACAAGAGCATAAAACTAATATATATATACAAAGTTAACGCCTTCATGGCTACAAACAGTAGAAATTGAAATGCCAAACGTATGTACGTGCCTGTGATGTTGGTTGTCTAGGCTGCACTAACCCGAATATAATAATTCTTCCAAAACTCTAGAAAAAACAGTTCTTACGTATATGCATTCAATTTCCAGGAAGCAGCATTAAATGTTTTACTTAAATGAACCCCAAGGTGCCTGCCTTTCTCTGAAAAAGTGGCGAAAAAATACTGGTGCCCCCCCCCCCCCTCCCCGGCCTCTCTCTCTCCTCCCTAACACGAATGCACACTCAAATCAAACTTCCATTCCTTTGAAACATGTTACACTACATGTACATTGAACAAATTATTTATACCCTTACCAAGTTTTTAAATTAGTATGTAAAAAATTGATTTGTTCCGATTTACATTTCTTGAGAATGTAATATATTAAAGCCAACATATAATTTACCCTTAGTGGACCTTTTATTCTTGAATAACGAAAAACACAAGAAAAAAGAAAAAAAAAATCAAATATACAAAGGGGTATGAATAATTCATGTGTTAACTGTATATCTAAAATCGTTAAGGAGGGCAAAAAAGGGCATTTACATTTATGAGCTTATTTTCATGGCATAATGAAACCGACAAGGAATATTCAAACTTCACAACACATGTTCTGAGGAAAAGTAGAAATATTGAACAAATAAGTTGGTGAAAATTGAATGAAATGGACAATAATACAAAATAACAAACTTTATTCCAGAAAACACATATGAATGTTAATTTTAAATAAACGGTTGTATACTTGTGATGCGATTTGGACAACCCTTGCATACGCTATTTTATACAATATCAAAAATGAAAACAAAACTACATGTATAATTTCCAACTTTTGAGCATGGTAATTTGTAATCGAGGATATTTCAGAACTGGCTAGCTATGATATAAATTAAAATGTTCCCTGCAAAAGAACAATTGAAATTCATGATACTGCATGATAATTTGCTCATTTAGATTCATTCATGGAAAGTAATCGTATCCGGACACCGACCCCTGGACATCAACCCGGATAACCATCCTCTAGGAAATCTACCCCCTAGGACAACTACCCCCTAGGGCAACCACCCTCTAGGACGACTACCCCCGGAAAACTACCTCCCCCCAGGCAACTACCCCCTAGGATAGTTGTCAGGAGGGTAGTTGTCCTAGAGGGTGGTTATCCGGGTGTGGGTGTCCAGGGGGTAGGGCACTGGGGGAATGGTTGTTCAGGGGGTAGGTGTCCTAGAACCGGAAGCAATACCAACTTCTGCACATTGCAACTGCAAAACATTGAAGAGAAAAATACATTACAGGATGATAAGAGAAATAAAATTGCCTTGGCAATACTTTTTTGTGTGTCTACTAATTGTCGCTGTTTTGCCAGTTAGAGTGAACGATGCAAAGAAGAGTAAATAATCAATCAAGAGTAATTAATCAACGTTTCTTATATCTCCTAGTCCTCCAAGTTATTTAAGCCATAACAACAACAAGATTGGATATATACATGTACATTTGAATTTCATCACATTTTGAAAAACCATTCATAGCATATGTAGACAAATATCTAATTTAACTCGATGTACATACATACATCTTAGTAGGTTCACATAGAAAATATATATTCAAATCGTAAATCCTTATCCATTCTCATCAATCTGAAAATTATCTAACACTATCATTTTGAATTATATATATATATATAGTTTTTAAATTTTATTTCATTTCAAATGAAATTAATTTTCTGTATTCTATATTTTTCTGTATGAAATATAAACAGTTGATGATATCACATTATAGAAATTAACATGCATTACAAAGACATCAATTAATGGGAATTAATATCCTTGTAGGGCCTATTTCAGTTGATTTACTTTTCGGAAACTGGCAACTTTTTAAAATTCAACACATTTTTATAGTGTATTGTTACATTTCCTCATCAATTTATGCAGAATCATGCTCAGTAAATCAATGTGGTTGGAGTGAAGAGAACAAAATTGCACTTACTTTTACACGCTTAATCTTGGAGCTAAGCATCAGATAGTTATAGACAGAGAAATGATAATGATTTCCATCTCGATTTTATGAATAGTACATTTGAACTGAAACAGTGTTTCTTGATCCCTCTCACTGTGTAATTTTTTATGAAAATAGACACATACTGTCATATTGGCAATTACAGAGCATGGTTTCAGACCTATCAAGCGACAATAATGGTGGGACTATTCGTTTTGAACACTTTTACATTGACATATTTGGTAACATTCACTAGGAAATATGTTACACAATGTGGTTACTTTGTACCTTCACGTACATGTTATTTCAACATCAGACATTCCTGCAACATGTGAATGAAATATTAATGATAATATATGTCAGTTAACAATTTCATTGATAGCTGAAAATCCCCATCCCATCCCTTCATATTAGTACCCCCTCCCCCATCTCTCTCTCTCTTTCTCTTTCTACTCCTTGTGATTCATTTAAATAGTTTTTTTTGGGGGGGGGGGGGGCTGGAAGCATATGAAGCTGTGCTTAGGCTGTAGCCCTTCTGTATCATCACATCTTAAAGTAGACATGCAATGATAATTACAATTATGGCCAATAATTCATCACTAGAAACCAGGAAGTTCAAATGTGAATCAGACCAAATAAAGTAACACAAATAAAAGTAACTCTCAGGATATAGGATATACGAGCACTACGCAAGAAAATTAAGCATGTGTTGATGATGTTGCATCAGGAAACAACCATGCTTAAGCAGACAGAGTCATAAAGTGCTATGCGGTGGTCCTGTGTTGTGGTCGAGTGGATACGTCACCGGACTGTTGATCACAAGGTCTGCGGTTCGAGTCCCGCCGCGGCACTAATGTCCTTTGGCAAGACATTGATCTACATTTGCCACACTCAACCCAGGTGAGGTAAATGGGTACCTGGCAGGATTATTCCTGATAACGGCTGCCGGAGCTAAAGGGTAATCATTTCCAAAGCTCTTTGGAAGCGCATAGAGGTGTTATTTCATAACATATCATGCGCTATACAGGAACTGAATATTATTATTATTATTATTACGATTGAAATCAGCCCAAACTCCAATTGAAAAGCCTGCCGAACACTACAATGGAGGGTGTTGACTCTCGGTTGAAATGCTGCACATATGTTGAAGTCTGCACAGTGAAATAAGAAAACGATAGCATGGATGGTGAAATACAATCACGCAAACAAATCAAATGGATTCTATTGGGGTTCTGCAAAAGGTCTCGAATAAGAAAAAAAATTAAATGAATTCTATACACATAACAATTAAGTAGGAGGGATCTCTATTTCAAATTCATGTATGCTACAAAGCCTTTATTTAAGGAATGAATGCATCTAATCAAGTACAACAACTGATCATTATCGAACATGTCATTATATCAAATCCCTAGATATAACTCTTCAAATACATGTATGTAGAATATGACTGGATATTCTATTCTCAATATATATTTCATGGGTATACTCCTAAAAACGTCGGAAAGGTTTTCTTACGCTGTAACCCCATTTATGTATAGTCTAAGAAGAGATCATGACAAAAGCATATATAGTGAGGCTTTGACACTTATCAGTTTAAAAAAAAATTACCTTAGAGTTTTCATTGACTCAGTCTTTCAGGAAAGTTCAGCTATGGCATGATTGGCATGAGCACTTTGGAGGAATACATGAATAGTGCCACTTGTTGTTGTCCTTTTTCTGTAAGTAAGATTTAATTGAAACAGTACATTACATGTGCATAGTTATAGTTTAATAGAATCATGATTATAGTGTAGCTAGTCATCTTCCTGACTATGACAACGTTTACGAGTGAACGTAAAGTAGGTACATAACAATTCCAGTACTGTTTTATCAGAGTCAGCATTACAATACATGTAAAAACAAATATTGAAATCATGAAAATACGAAAGTGTGTACTTGCAAAGAGGCTAGTTCAATGCATTAGAGAATCTATAAATGTTAATCATAATGAAAAGGTGTATTTAAAAGAGAGGGAAGATTCACTACAAACACTGATGAACTTGATAGCAGAGAAATGACAGACAAAACTCAGTGGAAGTTTGAGGAAAATCCTATACAAAATAAATGTATGAATGCTGTAAGTCTCAATTGACCAAACGATATCATAGCAACACAGGCAATTTCAATGGCCTTGAGCATCAACTTTTGAAATGTGCATTCATTACAAAGTTGTATTGTGAACATGATTTCTTTGAGATGTACAATAGGGTATTAAAAGCTTGTGAATGGAGTAAACAAATGACTTTATTTTAGTGACATTCCCTATGATATTTCCTGAATAAGACTACAACCACAGCTGTTAATATAAACGTAGCTCTATGAGATAAAAAGTGACAAGTTACATTTGATATTAGATATCTTAAAATGACTTAAATGTATTCACTTTCTGTTTCTGCTATGGCCCTCTCTTGCTCCCTATTAGTCTACAAGCACAGACCCTATATTTAACACTTCATTACAATAATTACATTATGACTTGAGTGAAGCCTAAATCTGTTCTTACTGCTGTAAGTACATAGCCTGGATTGCATTTCCTTTTTTAATTTTTTTTTTAGCTCAGTGCCTCTCGTCCACACTTTATTTCATTAACGTAATTTGCTCTTATATATTTTTGGGGTAACATATCCCCAATATGTGTATAATGCATATGTTGCATATTAATGACTGAAGAAAGCAATGTTTTCATTTCAATTAAAAAGACCTAAACATATATCGTAGGTCTATGGGCTAGCTGAAATATAAAGGAGCAAGAAGCAACAAAAACAGGGGTGGGGGGAGGGGGGAATTTGACTAAAACTCATGATATTTCACAAGAAAACTTTATGAAAAAAGGTATATACATTTAATGAACATACTTTTGCTTTGAATAATCTCCAGGGAAAGGACTTCGGCAAATGTAAAATTGTAAATAAAATAAAACATAGCATTATTACATGTACCTGCAACTGCTACGTTGGGCGAACACCGATTCCTGAAATATAAGCCCTGAAATATTGTACGGTTGAAGGGAAATTCCATTTCAGCTGTATACGTCTGTCATATGGCTCCAAAGAAGACTGTAGTTAGGGTTATACAAAAGAAAAATATTGAAATAGATACAATCAGTAAAAACATGTAAAATAATTAAAATTCAAAGGAATTTAATTAAGCATGCTTAGTCTACAATACATTTACAAGTTTCAAGATTCTGGTTTTATTTTCCATAATACATTTGTAATACAGAAATTTGTCTCCCATTGATGTTACATACAATTTAACATAGGCACAAACATGATTTTGTATGCTGAGAGCCAAAGGGGTTAACTTAATGTTGAACAAGAATGAGTGAACACCATTCCATCTTTCAGCAGACAGTACAAAAAAAAACTTCATTCTGAGTCACATCATAAATGCATTCATACATAAATAGGAAACTGATGTAAATGACAATACCGCAACCTCTTCCGATCATAAAGAGAAAGACATAATAGGAGCAAATTGAAAAAAAGAGGGATGAGTGGTAGACAGAGAGAGAGAGAGAGAGAGAGAAGGAAGGTAAAAATCTAATCAGGAGCTGCAAAGACGTGTAGATAATCATATTCTACTCTACTCTTAAGGACCGCTAGATGAACCTCCATAGTAATATACTATACAAAAAAAAACTGCAGATCACAGCTATCCAGTATACAGTGTAGGGTAGGCCCCGATGGTACATTTATAATTACTCTCAACATGAACTTCACCAGAATCTTGGACCTGATTTTTTTTACATGTAAGTTTAAAAGAATAAATAAGAAGTAAGCACAAATTATTTGCATCAGAAATTCCTTGGAGCACTCTCTTTTGGTTCTAGTACTATGTATTTCAACTAATATATATTCATGACATTTCAGAGATTGCTAATGAAATAGCAATTTGAAATGTATCAGTGATGATTATCGGTGATGCCATGCATCATGCTTTCTTTGTAACATCTAAAATATGACACATATACATGTAGCAAAACAAATCCTAACTTGCAGATTAGATCCCCGTACGATTCATAAAGAGTACTCAGAAGATACTAAGACGGCACTACTGGCGAAATGGATGAATGAGTGCTGTTTAAGATGTTGCCAATCAACATCTTGTTGCACATTTTTTTGAGATGCCGTGTATAAACAAAAAGATTCATATCATGTTAGTGCCAGCTATGATTATCATTTGACATGGCAATTATATAATAATAAAGTTTTGCCAAACCTTGCTATGGACTGTCCACAAAATTGGTCTCAAAGTCACTATAAAGGTTGTTCTAATCCATCGCAGTCATTAACTTTGAACAGAAGAGGGGTGAGGAAAACAAATCATCCCCAACCCTCCTTAAAATACTAAAGCCAAGGGATGGCTCTACATATTAAATAATATATGAAACGCAAATGAAATCATGCTGGAGTTAAAGAATAACATTTTATATTGAGTGCTGTGCTTAAGCATAACAGTGACCACAAAAAAACGCGCACTCACCACACACACACACAAATCCAATAACGTTTAAAAGAAAGGCCAATCATTATGTGTAGGAGATTGTATTTGCATAAGGAATATCCTTATCACATAGAGCAACAGAGTGGAAATGGGATCAAAATAGAGAAACATTTTATTTGAAGTAGAAAAATTATGCAAAGAATAACTTTGCACACAGAATTTATAAAAACAAGTTATGCTTTAGTTTGCTCTATTTGTATAAATATTGAAAGAAATTTCAAAGTATCATGGCCATGGGCAGATAACTGACCATAGTTAGTTACATCTTGGGTTATTAATGCTATTTGGTGGTTAGGATCCTCAGGGAGAAGGGATTTATAAATAAAATAATAATTATTATTTTAGCTTTTACCAAATCTATAGGACAGAATGGAAATTAAATGGACAAACTGCATCTTTCATTCAAGCGCATGACTGATCAGAAAATATGTGCATATGTACATGTAGGGCCATGCATGTCATTTTAAGAGCAAACATGGATGCTTGAAATTATACCATAGCTCATTCTGTCTTCAACATTAAGACACATACTAGGATATTTTCTTTACATTGTTTGTCACAAGATTAGTAAAAAAAAAAAAGAAGCTGTCCAGTTTTTTGTTAGAGGAATATGTGACCGATATATAAAAAAAAGGGCGATAACAGAGTTGATAGAAAAGGGCCGATTAGGAAATACAAAAGGAATACACTTTTATAGTATAAACATATATGTACTTAAAAGGGAATTTTGGTACTTAAAAAAACAGCAAATTTGATTTCTAGACCATTCTAGATGCATTTGACTGAAATAAGTTGAGTTCCACAAATTACTTCATGAAATTAACTTCATGAAAGCAGAAATGGATCCATCACCACTTTCAAAACATCACAGCTCTCTGTACTACTGTTAAATTTTAAACAGGCTTTTCTTCCACATGTTCAGGGTGGTCCACAAACAAATATTCAAACAAGTAAAATTAGAATGTGGAATAAGTATGATTTGATGCAAATGACAAAGTCTCTTGTGGCTGGGCTCAAGGGCTTGTTTAAGGGTTCGCAGGTTCCTAGATGTATTGTAGTACAATATGTGCCATCTAATGAACCATTTCCATGACTACTATTTCGAAAATGATTTTTTGGTTGAGAAGTACTATTAACCTACTGGTAGCGATGATTTTCAAACCTGTACAATCACATTTCGAAACTGTTGCTGTTACATAGTATAACCCTTATAAGTATGTGAGAGTTATTGGCAAAATGGTATTAAAGGAAGGTATTTTGGAGAGACTTTGTTCAGTTCTGCATTCCAACTAATTGAATAACAATTAAATCTCTCATATCTAGCTACAGATTCTACAATGTTCATGTAGCTGCACAAATCTAGAGTCAATATGTAGTGACTGACAATCAAAATGAAGCTGAACACTTCCAAATGTAAAGTTATGCGCATTACCGAATAAAAAATCCCAGGTCAACCCCATTACCATATTAATGATTATATATTTTAAGTTGCTACGCGATATAAATACCTTGGCATTGTTTTGAATAATAAAATGACCTGGTGAAATCATGTTGATTATGTTGTATCAAAGGCTAATGGAATGTTAAGTTTCATCATCAGTGTAGCAAACAATCTGTCAAGTGACTCTCTGCTGTGTTTGTACAAATGCCTCGTTCTCCATAAGCATTATTGAATATGGCCAACGTGCCTGGTTCATACACAGTAGAGAAAATGTTGAAAAAATGAATAGATACAAAGATGAGCTAGACGAATTATTCTCAAACATAGAAAACAGGAAATGGAGTATTCTGTACACCTCCAAACTTTTAAAGTGGTACACGCTTTTTTCCAGGCGACATTATCTTATGACTAGCTTTGTTCTCAAAGTCTTTGTTGGCCTTATAAAATGTGAAGCTGTCCAAAATGCTATCTGCATAACCAAAGATATTCTGACACTGTTTGATTCAAACATTTGACAGCTTGCACTCAAAGACTCCATGGCTCTGCCATCCACACATTTCCCAGTGTCTAGTATACTCTCAATACTGATTTGAAGACTGTTGTTGTGTTATTATTTCTTACTTGACTTTAAAACTAAAAGAACAAATTCTCAGTATACAGATGAGTTAACATAAATTAGTTAATTATGATGAGCTGTCTCTGTCTCAATTTTGTTTGTTTGCTGTTTTTGTTATCATACCCAGCTGCACAGTGCCATCTTCAGGTAAAATTCCAGGTTAAGAGTCGGATTTGAGTGCATGTATTCACCCTCCCCCCCCCCCCATTTTTCCATGGTGCTATATAATGTACATGTACATGTACACAAAGCGACATTTTCCCTCTTTTTTGTTCAGGGGGGGGGGGGGGGGGGGGGGGGGGGGGGGGGGGGGGTAAGTTTATTTTATTTTATGTTTTTAATAAATTTTTATCTTATCAATGATTATTGTTGATTAATAGTGATTTATAAATTGTTATGTATACCTCACAATTTTATTGTTACCATTTCTGTAAAGTCACATAGATTGGAAAAGAAGACCTCTGGGAAATAGTTATTAAGTTAATCTTTTTCTTTTCCCAGCATCCATGTGGCTCTTTTCCAAATGTACTCTTTTGGTATTCAATGATTTTCTTTGTTTTTTCCGAATAAAAAATATTAACAAATTTACAGAAACACTTGATTCTAATCTAAAAATCAATGTTTTGAAACAAACTTTTAAATTTGATGATTTCTTTCTTTCGTGCAAGCAGTTAAAATAACATGGCCCCTATTCTACTACAATTATAACATAATGCTGAATTTGATGTACATGTAGTCTGAAGTCTAAGATATCCTTTTGTTTTATATAAAGAGAAAATACAAACCCATTGATTTATTTAGACTATCTTTTAATTTGATGGTACAATTAGTTTGAATTTAGAAAAAAAAAGATGTCTAGAGTCAGTTTTACACGTTAAACAACGAGTGGTTGACGCCCCCCCCCCCCCCCTCCCCCAGGGTAAATAAATTTAAAAAGCAAAAAGAGAGGAGAATAGGAGGAACAAGAGGGCTGATGACCTTATTAACATTAATTTAAAAAAACAAAAAACAGAAGCCCTACCCTTCCTGAAAATTGATAAAAATAGTATTTAGGTACATATATGTACCTTACTTCTCTGGAGCAAATTCTGTAAACAAAATAATTAAATGCTACAGTGTCCTAAAGCTTTGGGTACAAGTATGCAGTTTAACTCCATACATATGCACATGTTCACACAACCATTAAGGTAGATTCTCACTGGAACTCTTAACAATGTAGCTTTTGAATAATATTATTCATGTTTTGACATTTCAAAGGGAAAGTAAATCAGATGCCCTGACTGGGCTGGGTTGCACCTCCCTAACTGCCTAGGTCTAAGTTTACATTGTCCAAAATATATGATGTTCTCATGGTTAATTTCGTAGAGCCATGTCTACATGTTTGTTTCTTTGGCTTGGTGTACAAATGTCAGAAGTAAAAATACAAGTAAAAATGTCAAATAAGGCAAAATGTTCAGTTTTATTTGCTGTGAAAGATCAAACTCTGAAATTGGCAAATTCATGATCATGAGCAACATATCAGAAACATAGTTTTACTGTACAAATTCATAGAATCATGAGACTGCTTGTATACGATAATATTGTTTGAAGGATATTCCAATATTTGGTGCAGGATTGATAAAATGTGTGCTGGCATACACTGTATTCCAGCAAGTATATATTTGTACAAGTCTACACATTAAAAAAAATGCACCATAAATTTGACAGAAAACAACGAGTGGAATTTGAAGGACTTGAACTGTATTTCTCTCACGTTTCTTAATCACAAACATGATGTTATTATATACAGTTACACTGTGTTATGTTTAAACCAACAAATAGAATAACTTCTGCCATAAAAGGCGAAAGCACATTACAAAATACCTGGCTAAATATGTCTCAACGTTTACTACATGTACATGTAGGCCTACTATCTGACATTCTTCAAGCAAAGCTCTGACATTGTTTGTTAAAATTTTGTAATAAAGTATTGATGAGGGGGGAAGCATATGTGTGTCTTTTTCTTGATGTTTTCTTATACAGTAGGCTTGTTGGTGCACCGTGTTCTTGTCATAATAAGAGGCTCTGCTCAGTCTGCTGGGATCAACATGAAGATGGGTCTGATGTCTGAATTTGTGGAATTTCTTTGCAATCTTTATAACTGATTCCCTGTTTTATCTCATTCAATCTTAATATTCTATGTAATTACTTCCTCAAAACCAAATAAACATTAAAACATCAACCTACTTTAATAGAAAATCGAAAAAAAGGTTAGAAATTCATATACAATGTACATATGCAAACCTGATCACAAAATATAAGTTTCGAATTTCCACATAGTATTATCCTTAGGACATACTTGTACAAAGTACAATACACCACAGTCATTTAGAAAATATACATTATGATATGGAAGAAGGAGATATAATGGACTGGCCCGGTAGCTTGAATCTTGACATTTTGTGTGATACAGTGCTTAGATATTATGACAGCACTAATTTCCCCTCCCCCTACATTTTGTTGCTGTACCTCTTACTTGTTTAGTTATTACCTCTGACTTTTTAAATCTGAAATTTTACCTCTGACATTTTTACCTGGCACCGTCTCTCCATACATGAAATTATAGTCATCCATTGTCTGAGATTTTTTCATGGGTGGGGAGGGGGGAGGGGGGGGGGGGGTAATTGTCCACTGGGGTCATTTTCCGGGGGGTGGGGGAGGGGGGTTGTCAAAGGGGTTAATTGTCCTGATATGGCTTGTAGGGTATCACAGCGGTGCAAATGTATGAGGTAATTCAGGGTTATCTTATGGATAACCTTGCACTTGTGTCAGAACCCATGTATGAAGTTACACATGTAGGACATGCACTGGAGCTGACAATAACCATAACCCAGAACCATACATACACATGTAATTGAAATGAGCCATGACAACGAGACTAGTTATGACTGAGGCTGCAAGTTCCATCTGACCAAGGGCCCATAATAAGTTTCTGGTATGGGTTCCAGGGGCGGATCTAGCTTTTTGCCAAGGGGGGGTGACCCAATGGCGATGCAGAGCCATTGTCCACGAGCCATAGAGCGGCAAGGCGATTTTGTTTTTGCTATTTTTAAGTTTTCCTGGCATCTACTAACATCTACTAATACTGTGTGGGTCTGGACACATGATGGCGTTATTCTATGCACATCACATTTTCACCTGGGAGCCCAAGGAGGGGGGGGGGGGGGGGAGTAACCCCCCAACCTAACCCCCCTCCCCTGTAGATCCGCCCTTGGGTTCCCGTGTGGTCATAACTCCAGTGGTTTAAATCGGAGCGGTATCATTGTATTATACAAGTGTGGAAGAACATTAGATTACAAAATGTTTCCGGAAAAGCATGGCTCTTCAAATGCCTTAATTTTCTAAATATGGCATGTAACATCATAACAATCGGGACAGAATGTTATGCCACATGTTGGTGTAGTCCCATACACATCTTTTTGTGTACAGTCATTGTATATTCCACGTTTCTTTCACAATGCAAATCACATAACAAGAACTCAGCTTTATTTTTAACTGACAATTTAATATTTATACTTTGTTCACACTTCTCTTTTATTTTCTACAATATTTACTTGAAAATTTTGAAGGATATTACAAGAGCGAAAAGATTTTGGCATTTGTATTGGTCTAAACGCTGCTCTCTTGGACCCTCCAGATCCTAAAGGTGTGTTGCAGTCTTTATATAGTAAGTGTTTGTTTTGGGGGGCACTTTTGGAAATTTTCCGGGGAGGACGACCCCCCTAAACGAATTGCCACGCCCCCCTTCCCCCCCCCCCCCGGCCCTGTGTAAAACCTAGATCAGGATTTTCAACCTCTTTCGGGTCACAACAACATTTTACGAAACAATGTTTTTGTGTAGGCCCTAACCCTAATCTCATCACGCAGGCACTGGAGCTGGAGGAGGGAAGTTGGCTCAGCTCAGTCGGTCAATTCTCTGCCTGTCAAACAAAAAATTATGTGTCGGATTGTGGCAAAAGTCAGCCTGTTGTGTGTTGCGACAAACAGTACCGTCTGTGTACGGAAACGTACCGGTAGACAGAATTCAGTTTTATCAGGGATATGAGATACCCTGGTTTTATTAAAGAATTCATCCCCATACCAGATGGCTTTGTTATTGTCTGGTCCTAGCGGATGCCACCACCTCCGGGGCCCCTTTCTCAGCTCAGCTCCCATTGCGAAAAATACAATTATAAAATAACAATAATAACAAACATGATTGATACACTAGATCTAGGCGAGTAGATCTATCATCAATTAACATTGAATTAGGTTGTAGTGTAGACAGTGATATTTTCTACATTACAGACATAGTCTTAGATAAACAGATTTGAAAGAAACTCACGTTATATCCTGTGTGATGGCTGAGATATTGCCGTCTACTGCACTGCTTCTCGCACGTATCGTGAGTGGATCTACCCAGTACCCCAGTTCGTTTACAGCAGCCACCCCGGGCTCAGGCGGGTCAGGCCTCATGATCTCCGTTGCTCTAGCTCACTGCACTGTGATACTAGCCCTGCAGGTATCGTGGGGCTCTCGCTAGCCAAATGTCCGGTATTTCGCAGGTCTCGATATGCATGCGCGCGTGTACCTACGCGGGAGCAGCCTTAATGTGCACAGAGAATATGATTGCCATTCTGCCTTGATTAACCTTGGAGAGTCCAGCAACTAATGACCAATAGACGCACTGGAGAAGGAAAAACCAGGGAGACTGAGGTAAAATCTCCCTTGATTATCTTAGGGAGAGTTTGTGGATCAGGTGCAGCAACAGTGACACTACTCAACATCGACAGGTTTATCCTAATAATTCGACCCCTTCGATATCCGTCCATTGTAACTCGACGACGTTGTGTTGCAGTCGTAGTATCGATGTGTTGCAGTTTCGTTATCATCGGCCTTATCGAGATGGAATTCGCAGGAGACTCTTTTGACATCGTCCGTTTTCGACAATTCGGGATTTGCATCATTGACTCAACCGATAAAGATTTCTTACCAATAACCATTTTAAATTATGCCATCTCGTTCTGGGCTCAGGCGGTTATCATCACGGTACTCTACTTGATCGTAATCAGAACTGCATGGAGACACACCAATGATATTGCTCGACAGGAACAATCTGTATTCCGGATCCAAAAGTTCTCCAATCGTATCATCCCGTCTGTGCCTACAATTTCGTGCAGAGATCAGGCTATGAAAAACGATTACCAAATAGCAATGCGGGCATTAGCAGCAAGGAAAAAGAAATTTCTCAAATCGATAACTTTTGTCATTGCAATCACTGGTTCATATTTCATATGCTGGATTCCCTACACGATTTCGGAAATCGCAGAACCGATGTTTGGTCGTCCGGCTTCACTTCAAGCTCAAGTGATTTTCTTATATATATTAGTGTGTACAACCTGGTCCAACTCTGTGGTCTATTTTACCGTCATTAAACAGTACAGACAAGAGGTTTTTAAAATGATGAAAAATTTGGTCTTGAAATTCAAATAGAATAGGGGTTAAACCACTGAAAGGAAGAAACGCAATGTTCTAAAAACACCATTCGTAGCATGGAGATTTTGCCAGCCTTCGGTAGGTCTACAAATAAACATCAAAAAGACTATAGTACTACTCCAACCAGGTACAGACCACCGAGAAGAGGAGGAGATCCTTGTGGATGGGACAGCTCTAAACCAGGTAGATGGCTTCACCTCCCTCAGCAGCACTATATCCAAGGACGGACGCATCGACTCTCAGCTGGTGAAAAGAATGTCAAATGCCAGTAGTTCCTTTGGAAGACTGCGAATCAGGCTATGGACCAATCATCATGTCTCAACAAGAGTGAAGTGCAAACTATACAGGGTTGCCGTCCTATCCACTCTCTTATACGGTGCGGAAAGCTGGACTCTCTACAAAAGTCAAGTAAACAAATTTTACGCTTTCAGGATGAGACACCTTAGAACCACACGGAAGGACAACAAAGAGATACTAGAGCGAGCAAACCTACCTTGTATTGAGGACCTACTGATGAGGAAGAACCTACGGGGAACGGGCCATGTCATCAGGATGCCCTTTGAGAGGTTACTATATGAAGCAAATACTATTCTCGCAACTACCCGCGGGCGAATTAAGAGGGATTGGTCGACCACAGCTTCGCTACAAGGACATGGCCAAGAGGAACCTTAAGCTGAGGCAAATCGAAATCAAGACTTGGACGACTGCTGCATGTCAGCGAGCTGAATGGAGAACAGCTGTAAAGAGAAAGTGAAGGCGGTCACTGTCGCTTTGCGACAGACAGCACTATTATGATGTGTGATATATAGAATAAGGAATGAAATTAAATCTTCAAGGGAAATAACAGACATGATAAAATATTACATCTGGAATCTTCCGTTTATAATTATAGACACTGTTGGTCATAATGGTGGAATAATTATTTTTACCCCAGTTAAGGGAAGGATTTAAAAAAATTATTTATTTCTAATAGATCTAGATAATGGCATACATTCTCAGATTTTATTGAATATTAATTTGCGAGTGTTTGTTCTGCGTGACTCCTAAATCATATGTGTGCTCCTATGCTAATCAGCTAGGGAACCTACGTCCTTAAATCATAATTGACAGTAATGAGGATTAATGCCTCAAAAAGGGGCACTAATATAGCTGATCGACACGATTTTTATCCTGGGGCCTCACAGTAATGAGGCCAGTCCTCTTTGTGGCCATGCCTTGAACCATAATGCATGGCCCTACAGAGGAATTTTTCCTGTTGGGGGCCGGGGGGAAATGCAATGAATTATTGATAATTTATTGCATTTTCTTCGTTTTGGGGGATTTGTGGAAGGGGCCGCGTACCCTGGCAAACACTGCGTACAGTCATGATTCAGGGGCTAAGCAATGGCCTTGTTACTGTGAGGCCCCAGGATAAAAATCGTGTCAATCAGCTATATATTAGTGCTCTTTTGTGAGGCATTAATCCTTATTACTGTCAATTATGACTTAAGGACGTAGGTCCCAGCTGATTAGCATAGTAGCACACATATGATTAAGCAGTCACGCAAAACAAACACTCGCAAATTAATATTCAATAAAATGTGAGAATGTATGCCATTATCTAGATCTATTAGAAATAAATAATTTTTAAAAATCCTTCCCTAAACTGGGGTAAAAATAAATATTCCACCATTATGACCAACAGTGTATTTGTGGTCTGGCGATTTTTGGGTCTGGACACAGGATGGCGTTTTTCTATGCGTTTCACATTTTCACTTGACAGCCCAAGAGGGGGGGGGGGGGGTAACCCCCTAACCCCCATTGATCCGCCACTGAGTAGGGAACCAAAATGAGCATTTTGTCCTTGTCAAGAGTCAGAGTGGTCCTTAGAATTTGAAGTCCTGATTAAAATAAATAATAATAATAGGCATTTGTATAGCGCCGTCTATCTAGACAATATGCTATTCCGAGGCGCACAAGAAAAATAGAAAGAATGAGAAAGTTTGGACGAGAAAGTTCGGATGAGTGTCATGAATGCGAGCGAGGACTTCTTTTCTTCTACCTGACACTTATTCATGAAAAGCTAATTACTCGATGAGTGACATTGCATGATAAGGGTTGGCTTAAAGTGATTCTACGTTGATGCCTATATTTGCACTTGGCAATATTGTGGATTGCAATCTGATGAAAGGTTGAAAGACGTTAAAAGAATATTGCATTTTCCACTTTCCCTTCGTTATGAGGGCAGACAAGAATGTTATTAACAGTGACAGACAGGCGCAAACGCAGGGGGGGGGGGGGTCAAACCCCCCTCAATTTTGTAGGGTGTATTTTGGAGGATATCCCCCCTCCCTCAACTTTTTAAAAATTAAATAAAAAATAATCATAACTAAAACCCAATTGTGGTAATAGGTGATCTAAAAAAGTTGACCTTAATACCCCCCCCCAACCCCATTTTAAAACACCCCTTTCGAATAAATCCTGCGTACGCGCCTGGTGACCGGTATCCTGTTTGTACGGTCTGATCTTAATGAGGCAGAAAGTAATCATTCAATTTGATCGATCCAGAAGGACTATCAAATTTGAGCTTTTTCATCATAGCGGTTGTACCGAAATTTTTCAACGCTACTGACTTCAAAGCATTATGACACAGTGTTTAGATGGAGGCTTGCAGTCAGTACGCAATGTGTTTTAACCAATGTCGAGCAAACTGAGCATAGACAGAGTCAACTACGAGAGTCTATATATGCATGTAAGTAAATCCATTTAGTTCTTTCAGTAAGGTTTCTGTTAATCCCACTGATGTCCATATTGATACTTTGGTAGATCTTGTCAAAAAGAAGCCTTATATCAACAATCAATCATGTCTGCGACAGAATCTGCAGCCGGTACTGAATCATGGGACCATATTCATCCGATCCCTGCAGCCTGGTTTCTTGTTGTATGCACAGTACTTTCTATTTCTTGCAACACCATCAACCTTACCGTTATACCTAGGCTGAATGATTTGGCAGATACTTCGAAAGTCTTTTATATCGCTCTCGCCATCTTTGATCTTATGGTCACGTTTATACATATCCTTATGATCAAACCTTCTATTTCGGGTTACTGGATTTATGGTGAATTAGCTTGTAAAGCGATTGGAACCTGTGCGGGATTCGTGCTAGCCTTTTCATCAGCAACGGTGACACTGCTCAACATCGACAGGTTTATCTTAATAATCCGACCCCTTCGATATCCGTCAATTGTTACTCTACGACGTTGTGTTGCTGTCTTGGTAGCGACGTGTTGCAGCATGGTCATCATTGGCCTTCTCGAATTCGAATTCGCAGGACACTCCTTTGACATCGTTCGCTTTCGAGAATTTGGGGTGTGCATCATGGACTCAACCGATAAAGACTTCTTACCAATAGCCATTTTTAATTATACCATCTCGTTCTGGGCTCAAGCGGTTATCATCACGGTACTCTACTTGATCGTAATTCGAACTGCCTGGAAACACACCAACGATATGGCTCGACGTGAAGAAGCTGTATTCCAGATCCGAAAGTTCTACAATCGTATCAACCCGTCTGTATCTACGATTTCGTGTAAAGATCAGGTTATGAAAAACGATTACCAAATAGCAAAGCATGCATTAGCAGCAAGGAAAAAGAAATTGAAATCGATAACTTTTGTAATTGCAATTACCGGTTCATATTTCATATGCTGGATTCCTTATACGATTTCGGAAATCGTGGAACCGATTTTCGGTCATCCAGTTTCACGTCAAGCTCAAGTGACTTTTGTATATATATTATCGTGTACCACCTGGTCCAACTCTGTGGTCTATTTCATCATCATTAAACAGTACAGACAAGAGGTTTTTAAAATGCTGAACAGTTTGGTAATGAAATTAAGATAGAAGAGGAATTAAACCACTGAAAGGAAGAAACGCAATGTTCTAAAAACACCATTCGTAGCATGGAGATTTTGCCAGCCTTCGGTAGTCTATATCACGATGTCAGGTTGTATCAATACCCAAGAGTGGACTTCACTTTACTGGAAGGCCTTACGTAATGTGCTTACCCTCCAGAAACATCTTCCACTTACTTCACAAGAACAACCCCAACCATCATCATGAATTCCGAATCAAAAAAACATGAGAAAGCTTTCCCAATCCCTTGCAGCAATTTCCCGATGGGACACCGACTCTCTCTGCGGCGAGATTTATGCTCAAACAACTAGTAGGCCTACTGCGTAGCAATTTAAAGAAGCCCTGTGACATGGAAACGGACGAGTATAAATTG